AAGATACTGTAAAAATTAAGATTGTCTTAAATGCATGCTGTGTATGTTGTTATTGTTGATATTTACAATTATCTCAGGATTTTACTTTCTTATTTTAAAGTTCTTTTGATTACACCATCTCTTTGTGTAGACATCATGTTTAATACACTATTCCTATTAAATATGGATGGTTAACAGATGGTATAAAGACCTGCCTATGATAGTCAGAAACATACTTTCCCCCCCCACCACTTTTTTTTCTGACTCTCAGAAGCAGCACCAGCCTAAGCTGTACTTATTTTCTAGATTAATTAAAGATAACTCTCAAAGTTATGAGTCAGTAGATGTAATGTAAAGCTGGGGAAGCGTGTGTGTGTGTGTGTGTGTGTGTGTGTGTGTGTGTGTGTGTATGTGTGTGTGTGTGTCTGCCTGTCTGTCTGTCTGTCTGTGTATCTGTGTGCCTGTGTCTGTGTTGTGTTTTAAAACTTAACAAGTTACATCGATCAGTCAAGTTAGGAACCATTGATTAGAATTAATTTCCTTAAAATTTGCTAGTATACTTAATTCCAAATAGAGAGAAAATGAAAAAAATTTCAAATATGAAGGTAATATTTTTGTGGATGATAATGACTTCTCTTTTATTAAAAAATTAAAAGTAGTTTTCCCTGCATTCTGGAAGTTGACAAGATATAGTAATGTTGCAGCTAAAAACACCTTTCAAGTGGACTCAGCATATACAAAAGATAGTGATAATGTGATTGGCAAATTGGGGAGGATCACAAATGTGTGATTTTGAAGTCTATTTGAAACCAGTCCTGAGTCATGAATTTGATCTAGTATGTTGTATGCTGCAAATGAAAAGATTAAACTGGAGCAATATAATTAGTATAAACCATTGCATCTGCGCTTGTAGACCAGCAATTGAATTGGGAACCAGCTGCAAAATGGTGACTAATCTCTCTGGCAAGCCCACATGAGGGTGTAGTACAATATGCCAACTTGAGCTTCGTGAGCACGTGTTTTTTCAACTGGCCTCTGAGCAGGTGATGGTGGTGATGCAATCTGATTATACTTTTGAATGTATTCTAACCACAGTCAACAGTTGAGTCTCACAAGGGATTTCACAAAAGACTTAACTACATATTTCTTTTCTCATAATTTCAACTAGACAAGGCCATGAGAAGTAGATTTTTCCCACTGTAATGTCTGTAGTACTTATGGTAGTTAATAATTTTGAGTGGCTTTCATTATTGTTCACACATGAAATGAAAATGAGAAAAATAGTATGAAAAGAAGCTGTTATTCAAAAATGTACATCTACTTACAATAATCAATTAAAATAATTAAGCTGTCCAGACTTTGTTCTGTTACAAACAAGAATTGGTAGTCCAGTGAATGTGTTATGAGGGACTAAAGTGGTATACTTTCCATAGTCAGAGAGGCACCTCTCTAGCTATTACCTGTTCTGATGAGGTGATATTTAACAATGTCTTCAACATTAAAGGTGTTTAATAAATGCTCAGACTTGGATCTGAGCCCTTTCTGTTTTTTATCATTGAAAAAATGATAGTTTCTTCTTACAGTGTATCACAAAGACACTGTGGATGAATGAATCCATCTGTCTGAGAGTATATATCATATTTTGCTATCAGAGCCAAAACATAGTCACAAATATTATTTCTAGTGGGTAGTTAAAAAGTAGAATATTCTGAAGTCCCTTAATTACAAACATTCCAAAATGCATGATATACATTTGTAATAGAAAAGACTGTATAAGAACTCTATAAGATCATTAATATATAGAATTTGCAAATCATGCTTGAGAATAAAAGGGGAAAAGAGGTACCAAAAAACCTAGCCAGGTAGTACTCTCACTTGCTCTACAGGAGAATGCCTGGAAGCAGAAGTTGAATAAGCTGACCCTCATCACCTCACTTCTGAATCTGTAGGGTTGAAGTGGATCCTAGGCACCTGTGCTGTTCTAGTTTGTTTCTCCATTGCTGTGGCAAAATACTCTGACCTCTACCAACTTGGAGAGGAAAGGGTTTATTTTCTTACATCTCCTGGGTCACAGTTATGACTAAGGGAGCCCAGGGTAGGAACTCAGGGCAGGAACCTGGAGGCAGGAGCTAAAGACAAGCCATGAAGGAAAGCTGCTTACTGGCTTGCTCCTCTGATCTATGCTCAGCCTGCTTTCTTATACAACATAGGTCCACCTGCCCAGGGATGGCACCACCCACAATGGGCTGGGCCCTCCCATATCACTCAGTAATCAAGAAGATGTTCCACAGACATGGCCACAGGCCAGTCCAATGGAGGCAATTCCCCAACTGAGGGCTCCCTCAATCCAGATGTGTCAAGTTGACACTATAGCTATCCAGCACACATGCTTTCAGTCATTTCTCTTCCTAACCCTTTTCTCCATGATTTTATACATGTCAAAATGTGAGACAAGTGGCTACTGTAGTATCATAGTACTGAAGTATAATTCTATAGTCTAGACCACTGGATGTTCTGATGTTTCTAAACATCAGAAAAATTTTCAGTGTAATCAAGAGAAATAGTAATTTTCATAGTAATTATACAAAGATCTTGAAAAAAATTATTGACTTCAATACTGATTCTTTTAGAAGCAGTTAACTTTTTTTCCTTTTTATTAAATAGCATTTTGTTTGAGACCATGGATTTGAAATTGGTCTCTGCAGTGGACACAACAGACCAAACTAATGTACTGGGCAATATTACTAAGTGAGCTTTGGCTAGTTACAGAAAGCCCTCTAGCCAGTTAACTGGTTGGGCTATAAACAATTAACTAGATACACTGTAACTAGGGAGCTAGTTGATTGACTAGGATGTTTACTGTGCCCCTTGTAGTTCCTTTGTAAATGCTATCTGATCATGTCATTGATGGGAGTTCTCAAAAATCTGTCCTGGTTATTGAAACTGCCATAATTTGCAAAAACTTGTTAAGTTTTTGCTTTTGCCAAATAAATTCTGTTAAAATTTTAAGACTCATTTTTAACTGATACATAGAAACATAAAACTTGTATATGTTTAATAGAGTTCTGTGTAATTTTTTTTTTTTTTGGTCTTTTTGAGACAGGGTCTCCCTGTAGCCCCAGCTGTCCTGGAACTCACTATGTAGACCAGGCTGGCCTTGAACTCATAGAGATCCGCCTGCCTCTGCCTCCCAAGTGCTGGGATTAAAGGCGTGCGCCACCACACCTGGCTTGTGTAATGTTTTATTACACAGAATACAATGATAATGTACTCATTATTTAGTGTGTAATGTTTCATTAGGGATAAACATTTATCCCCTCAAAATTTTATTAGTTTTTTATTGTGGAAACTCTCAAATCCTTTACTGTAGGTTTGTAAAATACAGAATTCATTATTTTTGTCTATAGTTGCTCCATTACACAGAACACCAGGACTCTTTCTTTTGACCATGACTCAGTGCCCCTTGACTGGCCTTTCCCCATACTTTCCTTACATTATTGTACTCATAATTCTACTCTCAACACCTGTCAGATAAATGTTTTTTGATTCCACATGTGAATGATAGGCAGTGCTTGTTCTGTGCTTGGCTTATCTTACCTGATATCATGATTACCAATTCTACTGATGCTGCCACAAATTATGTCATTTCATTTTTATGGCCAAATCATGATCTACTATGAATATGTGTCACATTTAGGTATCAGTTGATGGATATCTAGCTTGTTTCTATTTCTTGGGTGTTGTGAACACTGCTGTAGTAAATATGAGGGGGTAGATGTCTCTGGTACCCTAGGTAGTATGATTGCTGGATTATGTGATAGCTCTATTTTCAGTTTTTTGAGGAACCTTCATATTGTCTTCCAGAATGGCTGTGCTATGCTACTTTACCTCCAGCAATGTGCAAGGATTCCCATTTCTTTGCCAGGACCTGTCTTTTTGATAACACATATTTTTATTACAGTGAGGTGATACCCTTACTCCCCGATGCTTAGTGATGGCATTTTTTATATGCCTATTGATCATTAGGTATTTTTTTCTTTCTAAAAGTGTATATTTAGGTCCTCCCCTTTTCTCCTATTCTGTATGTTGTCTCTTTGTTTTTCCTTTCACTGTACAGAAACTTTTTAGTTTGATGTATCACTCTAGACTCTGTGATCACAGAGCATTTTCCTTTCTGTCCATATTTCCCTTTACTTATAACACTCATTTGCTGAAGGCTCATTCTATTGAGCATGGCTATATATACATATGTGTGTGTGTGTGTGTGTGTGTGTGTGTGTGTGTGTGTGTGTGTGTATCCCCTTTCTATATCCTGGATAATTCTAAAATCTATGACGTTTCAACTAACATCCTAACCTCATCTCTGTGCTCTGAAAACTTGTTTTGCCAATGACTTCTTCTTCATCAGTTCTTTATTGGCCTTGCTCTAGATTATATAATCAATGAGAATAGTGTCACCTCTGAAACAATTAACCTTAAACCCAGAAGTCTTGTTTTCTGATGCTAAATTTGCCTTCCTTTGGACCATTATTACCACTTGTTCACCTAACTCATTGATAGCTATCTGATCAGTCTCTTAGGGCCTCTGCTAATCACTGCAGTATTATGAAATTAAGTCTCACAACAATTTTGATCCCTGTCAGGTTTCTACTTTTCCTCTTATCTTCCCTACTCCCAGGCTTATAAGCATTTTTGGAAAAAATTAGAATGATGCCTGTGGAGCTGCTTAGGCATTAGTGTTGTTGTATTTTTTGATTCAGTACTAGATATTGAACTCAGGGCTTTTTTTTTTTCATGCAAGGCAAGTGCTATGCCTCTGAGCTGTATCTCCAGCTCCTTTTGTGCACTAAAATATGTTGTTGCTTTCCAATTACATGAATTGTCAGTTCTCCCTTGTGGTTCATTTGATCTGCTTTGTCTTAATAAAAAATATTGCAACCGTAGCTACGCATGGAATCAGCTGGCTGTGCTCTGAAACAGATCAATACTGTTACGGTTCTAATATGAAATGTTCTTCCTAGGCTTATGTTTTGAATGGTTGGTCTCCAGCTGATTGCACTGTTTTGGAAGCTGGTAGAAACTGGGAGGTAGGCACCTCCCTTGTAGAGGTGAGTCACTGGAGACATGCCTTTAAAGCGTACACCTGATCTCTAGCCCCTTCTTCCCCTGGTTCCTGTCTACAGTGATGGGAGCTGTTCAGCTACCTTCTCCCCAACATATGGACTGAACCCTCTGAAACTGTGGTTTATTTTAACGCTTTCTCCTCTTAAGTTGTTCTTTCAAGTATTTCAGTAATAGTAGAAATAGATACATAAGTAAATAATATGAATACCAAATACCCAAAATACTCACTGGGGTTCCACCCCTAGGGAGTCTGACATAATTGGCCTGAACCAGGAACTTTTAGATGCTCCCCAGATAATTCCAACATGTAGCCAAGGCTGTGAACACAGAGGCTAATGTACACAGAGGCTCATGGATGTGCTTGATACTTTTAGTGCTTCCTGCTAGCCCTTGCCTCACATAAATGGCCTTTTCCTTTTTCTGTCTTTAGATTGGCTTTTAATTGAATTCATTTTTAATCATTCTTTTTTAGAGTATGGTCCTTTTACTTATTTAAAAAAAAAGCTTGCTGTGAAATAGCATATTATAGTATGCTGGCAGCAGCCTCATAAATCTAGTGTTCACATATCTTGCTTTCATCAAAGAGGCCCCATTAAATAAGTACATTCTTTAAAAAATTTTTTATTTGTGTTTTATTCTGACAGCAGCCTTATATATGTAGTGTTCACATATCTTACTTGCACCAAAGAGGCCCCATCAAATAAGTACAGTCTTTAAGTTTTTTTTTTTATGTGTATGAGTGTTATGCTTGCATGTATGTAAGTGCAATGCCCGTGAAACTGGTGTTACAGACAGTTGTTGGCTGCCATGTTGGTGTTGGGAACCAAACCCGGGTCCTCTGCAAGAATAGCTAGTGCTCTTAACCACAGAGCCATCTTTCCAGCCCCTGTAGGGAATATTTTTATTTTTATTCATCTTCTAGTGTTCACTATTGTAAATTGTTATGTGCCTATGTTAGATTTATCAGTACTATGAAATTAACATTAATTTAATACTGTTAAAAAAACACCAACTTTATTTGGATTTTACAGATTTTTCCACTAATTTCCATTTTCTGTTCCAGGATCCAATATAGAATACTCCATTACATATAGCCACACTGTGTTTTAGCATGCTAAGTTAACTCTTGTATTGATCATTTTTTCCCTCTTTGATGGCAACCCATTAAGAAATGATTTACTTTCAAATATTCAGCTGTATAAACAATAAAAACAAAAATGTAATCCAAGCAAATTGTAGAATCAAGGACCTCTAAAATATATTTTTGTCTTTTGGGAATGCTGTAAAGCATTTTCCAATGAGTTGTTATTAGTCTAGTAACATGGGAAAATAACAGCCATGTCGGATGTTTTTAAATGTTTTTATGTTAAATTTAAACTTTAATCTTTGTCTTATTCATGGCAGAAAAAAATAAAAATAACTGAAATCATAGGACTTTAACACTGCAGTTTAAATTTATAGACTTCTACATAACCACTGTTTTTAGTGATCCAACATTCAGTCTGATTTTCCACCTCATTGAAAACATTCTCCAGCTGCTGCTGAGTGATTTCATAAGTTGCATTCATGATCCTAGCTTGAAGTTTCTTTAAAGAATGTGGTCTAGATGAATACATGCAGTTTTAACACAGTCCCATAAAATACAGTTCAGTGGGATAGGTCAAGTTTAAAGTTGCACAAGGATTTCATAAACACCCCAAGTAGACGGGCTCTAAAACTTTGTGTCATATGGAAAAACCTTATAAAAGGATGGCCGCGTTCCAGAGGTAGATTAAGTTGGTCATCTAAGAAACAATTCCCACAACTGATGGTTCTTAATAGTACCACCTGCTAGTTCTTTCATATTAAATTGTGTGAAATAACACATTCTGTAAACTGATGAACTACTGATTTATTTAATAAACCCATCAATGAAAGAAACCTCTGTCATAAGAAATGCAGTTTTTTTTATTAGGCTCAAAAGGTCTTAAGCCAGAAATGTCAGACATTTTTGTAGACAAAGAGTGTTGTAATCTGGCATTGTTTTTTTTTAAAAAAAAAAAAACAGCAGTGAGTAGTTCACTGTACCCATTTGGTATGTTTGTCATTTATTTGGCAGGAGACTCCAGAATCTCTGGGTAGTCAGCTGGATGCCAAGTTAAGCCCCAGAAAGACTTGAGTGGCCTTGGTTCTTTAGATGCTGTGAGACTGTGAGCATGTACTGAAGGCTGCATTTGGGCTGTTTCACAGATGCATGTTCAGTGCTAATTTTATTGACTGCATTAGTGAGATATCTTTCACTCAATCCTGACTGTTACTACCCTAGAAAATAAAATCAAACAACATATATTTCATATTCTCAAATTAGAATTGTAGTCTTTCTAGAATAGGTGTTTCTCATGTTTTGAAATCATTATGACATGAAGGGAATGATACTCAAAAAACAACACTGTGTGGCAGTCATGACTGTGTGGACTGGTGTGTCATAATGTATTGCAAAGAATTAATCCCTAGGCAGTTTTTGATACTAGCCAGTCATATCAATGAAATTAAGTACCCAGTTCAAATACCTTACTGAGTTTGAACTTCACTGAACCCTAAATGTTTATAGTTTTATATTCATGTATTTTATATATTTAGCATGATTTATTTTTATTAGTAGCTTAGAGGCATATTTAATATAGTAGTGTACCCAAGACAGATTTCTCACATATTTATGTAGTTAATTTTTTCTGTTTTTTGGTCTTTTTGAGACAGGGTCTCCCTATAGCCCCAGCTATCCTGGAACTCACTATGTAGACCAGGCTGGCCTTGAACTCATAGAGATCCACCAGCCTCTGCCTCCAAAGTGCTGGGATTAACAGTGTGCACCATCATGCCCAGCTATATAGTTAATTTTAAATGTATATCATACATAATATGATTATCTTCTTCAGAGAAAAAAATATGAATGTAATATGTTTTGAGCTTTTAATTTTTTTTGTATTTGAAGGAATATAATCCCCCTTTTTTATGTTCAATAATTAGCCAAATATGCTTTAATTCCGAAGTTTAGGGTTATTCTCTATTTCTTTTTTAAAGGTTTGATAATAGCCAGATGTGGTGGAGCACATCTTTAATCCCAGAGGCAGAGGTAGGTGGATCTGTGTGAGTTCAAGGCCAGCCTGGTCTCCATAGTGAATCCAGGCCAGCTGTGGCTACAGGAAGACCCTATCTGAAAAAGAACCCCCCCCCGAAAAAAAAGTTTGATAATATCACTTAGTGATATTAACAAAGTTAGTATAAAGCTACTGTCAGGCCGTGTGCTAACATTTCTTTTTCTTTTTTTCTTTTTCCTCCCTCTCCAGAGGGAGGAAACACTCATAAAGCAACCTGGGTCACCAGAGGTAATGGGTACTCTAAGATCCCAGGACTTCTTCTGCTTCTCTGGTTTGAGTCTCTTCTGAAATTCCCAATGGATTCCCTTCCTTGGGTTAAGATGCTGCCCTGCTATCAGCTCTTCTAGAGCTACATTTTCAGAAATGTCATCTTTTGAAGAGAAAGAAATTAAGATTTCACATACACACACATACCCCTAGGGGAAGACCTGTTGTCTACTAAGTCACACAAATGAATCTGTGTCTCAGCTCTGCTACTTACCCACTGGGACTTTGGTGAGTTAATTAACCTCTCTGGGCTTCAGTTTTCTTGGCTATGAAATGAAGATGATGACACAGTCTCAGTAGGGTTGTTGTGATGTTAACCTATGTAATACACAACCCAGGGCTGGGCACAGAATGGAGCCGGGTGCAGTGGCTCCCTCTCCAGAAGAAAACTAAGGTTTCTGTCCCGTGCAAAAGTTCCTAAGTTTGGATTTTGTTTTGTTCAGTATTGAAACTCCAGAAGGAATAATATTTAGTCATGTTGTAGGAATCAAAGCCTGGAGAAACTCCCAGAATGTGGAGAACTAGTAGAGAAGGCTTAACATTTTTTATTTTATTTCATATTTTATTTTATTTTTATTTGGGAACACGGAACAGTGTTTTTACTTTGAACTGTATACTGAGATGTTAAAAGTTTGGGGCTGTACATAGAGACCCCACCAGATGGACTTGAACCAGTCTACAAAGAGGAGGGTCAACTCAGAGAAAACATTTCCTCCATGTTTCCAAGTGAAGCCAGACATGGTCAAGCAGGACCTTTGACTTATCTTCACATAGATGGAACTGGTAAAAGAAAGGAGCCAGGGGCTCCTCCCAAGCCCATGTGACCCCTGAGGAACAGATCCTCAAATGACCTTAAGTGTAAATATAAATTGATTTATTTGGGCTGATGTATGGTCTTAAACTTCCAAAAGGAAAGTATAACCAAAGAGTAAAGTGATCAGTGTATTTCTTTAAGAATTCAAGGGATTACACTTCTCAGACATTAGGCCTAAGTCCACACAAAAAGTTATTTAGATAATTATTTCTTACTGATGATTTCATTCTAAATCATTAAGTGCTGCTCAGATGTAAGACTTCAAATCTTGGTCTCTAATACTGTAGTGCCCACGTGTAGCTAAGTTAAGGAGACAACCCTCTATTGTTCTAAAATGATGGCCAAATTTGTTTTCTCCCCCTATCTAGAAGCCTTTGAGAAGGAACTGACACTGATTCTAACCACTCCAACTGCTGTCAAAATGTCTGAAAGCAAATCCTGAATCCAGCCTTGGAAGACAAAAGAAAAATGAGGAGGAAACTAATAGAGGGATGCTTTTGGAAGCCCTTGTCAAGAAATTCCAATGGACTCTCATATGAACATTTGAAAATTACCCCGTTCTGACGTTTTTCTAGTTCCCTGTCTAGAACTTGTAATGCTAATTCCTCTTGCCTTTATTTCTCCTTCACATCTCCTATTCACCAGTCAAGGACTTTCTTTTCACTCTAGAGATAAGAGTTATGCAATTTGGGAGTCTTTTGGATAGACCCACTGAAGGGGTACC